AAAGAAACAGAAACTATGACTTCAAAAGGGAAGGACACAGCATTCATGACATACTATTTTTCCTTGTTTTTCCTGGGGACCTTGCTGATGATTTTTTGGCTCAGAAATTCATATCCTTCACCACATCTGTTCTGGACTCTGGCCTCTCAGCTGGCAGAGACGTTTCTCCTGATTCTCTCTGCAGTTCTCTGTTGGTTTTGCAGTCTGCGCTATCATTTGTAATAAATTGGGCTAAGCTAATTGCTTCGCTCTATAATTTCAAGGCCCTGGGGGATCCCTCAGCTGGGAACTGTGTCCCCAGAGCCTGAGGCCTGGAGCGATCTCTTAAGTTCATGCTGTTTTGCTCCCAGCGGCAGGGCAGATCACAGGCAAAACAATCAGCTAAGTAAAGACTAGAGACAGCAGGACTGTTTTGCCCTCAGTGGACAGGTCCCACAGTGACATTATAGCTAGTCTTCCTCAGAGGAAGATCTAAGCACGGGCTAGGGGAGTGCTGAGGAAGAACTACCTCCATTTACAACCCTGTGGGGTACAATCCCCCTAAGCTGCAGCTTTAGACTGGTTGGAGCTGGGATGATAGCAGGGGGACAACACTTGCTTCATGTCTACTGAGATTTCTGGTTTGGTTCTGTTTTCATTTCCAGCATCGGCAGTGCCGTGAGGAAAGTTTGGGCTTAAATCCCAGTCTAGAGTAAAAATCTAGGAAATGCCTTTCACTGTTTAGAAAGATGGGAGAGACACCCCAAACTTTGCATGTTGAGCCCTGATGTTTCCAAGCCTGTTTGCTTCAGTATGGTGCCTGGATACCACATCCTTCCAGGCTATATTCAGGACTCACTTGGAAAGGCAAAGCCTTTCTGCCTCTTTCCTGAGACCCATCACTCCAAGCAGCCTGCACGTGCAGACTGATGCAGAGCAGGTGCCCATGTGGGACACGAGAGAAACCTGCTCCTTGGAGGCTTGCATAGGGGAAACCTTGGTGTCTGAAAGGCACCACGTGTGTTCTGCTGGCTCGAAATGTAAAGGTATAAGCAGAAGGTGCAGGTTTGCTCCTAAACGCTCAGAATCTCCGCAGCCGGCATTAGTGTTAACAGCTCATATGGATAAACTATCTTAAGTAAACACCACTACTGCTTTGAAAGGCATTAGTTTTATTTAGCGTGGGGGCAAATTCCTTGCACTCTACTGAGACAGAGACATGGGTGCAGGCCAGGGCAGGGGACATCTAAGAGATGCCGTGCATGGGGGTGCAGTCCTCTCGGTATCCACCACCCTGGCCTTCCCGGGGAGTCCGGGGCACCAGAAGCTGATTTAGGCCGCGATCCCAGGCAGCTGCCGAGGCGGGCGGCAAGGCTAAACCGAGCGAGACCCGCGGCGGCCGAGGGCGAAGAGCCGGGTGCCCCGCTCCCTCCAACTCTGGCGCCG